TGCAAGAACACATCAAGGCGATATTCGAGCTACCTGCACTGAGAAGAGAAAACAGTGCGACCTTGCGAAGTATTTTAGATGGTATATTAAAGCATACAAGAGCGTTAACTGCCTTAGGACATCCTACAAGCCAATGGGACAACTTGTTAGTCTATATAATAACTAGCAAGTTAGATTTTGCAACCATGAAAGAGTGGGAAACTAGTATCGAAGTACGACAAATGCCGACCTTTCGGGAGTTAATTGATTTTCTTATCCGAAGATGCCAAATGTTAGAAGCAGTAGCAAGGAGAAGCCCATCCACGCAGCCCAATACTACTTCGCGTCAAATCAGCAAAGGAAAGTCAACGACGTCTCATGCCGCGATGACGAGCGTTAGATGTATGTATTGTAACGGTGACCACCAGATATACCAATGCAAATCTCTCAAGGAACTTTCCACCGCGGAACGTTTAAAGAATGTGAAAACTAAGAAACTATGTTTAAACTGCTTAAAGGATAAGCATATTGCCAAAGATTGTTTAACTAGCGGATGCAAAAAATGTTCGAAAAAACACAGTACCTTATTACACGAGGATCGCGAGTCATTAAAGGAAAAGAACGATGAGATAGTAATCAAAACGTAAGTCAAGAAGTTAGCTCGAACAAAACGGTTAATACAGTCTGTACATACTCGTAAGCGACAGAAATAATAAAAACTAGCCAAGTACTACTGTCCACTGCCCTGATTAGCGTGAGAAATTCTAAAGATCATTACGTCGAAGGGAGAGTATTATTAGATAACGGTTCTCAATCTAACTTCGTCACTGAAGAATTTGTTAAGAAACTAAATTTGAAAGCTTAGACGAGCAAGTAGAAATTACGGGGATTAACAGACGTGTATCACAGGCTACCAAATCCGTAAACTTAAATTTAACTTCCCGTTTCGGTACTTTTGGCATGGAACTAGTTTGTATCGTGTTGCCTAAAATCACTCAAAAGCTACCAGCAGTAGCAATTGATGCAGATAAGTTGGAATTACCGAAAAATATTAAATTAGCGGATCCTCATTTCAACATACCAGCTAAAATTGATTTATTAATTGGTGCGGAAAGATTCTGGGAGTTA